AATATAAGGCTGATGGGTCCATTGAAAGGTATAAAGCAAGATTGGTGGCCAAAGGATACTCTCAGACTTTTGGGGTAGACTATCAGGAGACATTTGCACCCGTTGCAAAATTAAACACAATCCGTGTCCTCTTGTCTCTTGCTGCAAATCTGGATTGGAAACTCCAACAACTGGATGTCAAGAATGCATTCTTCAATGGAGATTTGGAAGAAAAGGTGTACATGGACCTTCCTCCTGGATTTGACATTGATAAGTATGATGGAAAGGTGTGTAAGCTGAAGAAATCTCCCTATGGTTTAAAACAATCCCCACGTGCATGGTTCGGGCGATTTTCAAAGGCTGTTTGTAAACAAGGATATACCCAAGCTCAAACTGACCATACAATGTTCTATAGGCACTCTCAAGGTAAGATCATCATCCTCATTGTTTATGTCGATGATATTATTGTCACAGGTGACCATCATGAAGAAATAGAGAGACTAAAACAGGCACTTGGAAAGGAGTTCGAAATAAATGACCTGGGAACACTTCGGTATTTTCTAGGGATGGAAGTTGCTAGGARCAGAACTGGTATATCTGTGTGTCAAAKAAAATATGTAYTAGACCTCTTGAAGGAAAYCGGAATGCTTGGATGTAAACCATYTGATACTCCAATAAGTCYCAATCATAAGTTGGGAGAGAGCCTAGATGRGGTACYCGTTGATAAAGGGAGATATCAGCGTCTTGTTGGAAGATTAATCTATTTATCCCACACTAGGCCGGATATTGCATTTGCAGTGAGTGTTGTAAGTCAATACATGCATGCTCCTACTGAAGAACACATGGAAGCCGTGTATCATATTCTTAGATATCTTAAAGGAACTCCAGGGCTTGGATTATTTTTCGGAAAGGATGATGACAGAAAGATTAAGGTGTCTACAGATGCTGATTAGGCAGGTTCTATTCAAGATAGGAGATCTACGACAGGATATTGTACCTTCGTATGGGGTAATCTTGTTACATGGAGGAGTAAGAAACAATCAGTTGTTGCAAGAAGTAGTCCTGAGGCTGAATTCAGGGCATTATCTCATGGTATTTGTGAGATAATGTGGCTGAAACTCCTCCTCCAAGAACTCAAGATCAGGTTTGATAGTTCAATGGAAGTCTATTGTGACAACAAGGCTGCAATTGCTATTGCACACAATCCAGTGCATCATGATCGTACTAAACATGTTGAGGTTGACAGGCATTTTATCAAGGAGAAGATTGAAGAGAAAATTATAAATCTGATGTATGTTCCATCATCAGATCAAGTTGCAGATATCCTAACAAAAGGACTCTTGAGACCCGTATTTGAAAGGTTGTTGATCAAGCTGAAACTGTTCAATCTGTATAGTCCAGCTTGAGGGGGAGTGTTGAATTAGTTAGAAGTTAAGATTATGTGGACTTAGTTAGAAGTTGTTTTAAAGTTGTTTAGATTTTGTGTTTAAATTTAGCAAATAAATCTCCTTTTTTGTTAGGGAAGTTAGGAGATTATTCCTAGATTTTGTTTCCTCTTGTAACCTATAAATAGTGCCTCTATTCCTCATTTTTGATCAATCAATTTGAGAATTTATTTCTTCTCTCTTTTCTCGTGTATGTCTCTCTGGTGTCTCTATCCTTAGTTTTTAATAAGCCATGGAAAAGTGCACAAATATATGCTCGGCGACAACAGAAAGGAAGTCTTTCAAAGTTGAAGTATATGAAAATACAAGGGGATGCTGGATTCGCATAATAGAGTCAACAAAGGACAAGGCCTTCTTCATAGCTTTCCATCGGGGCACCCTAAGATGGATCATCGACAGCTTTAAAACTCTCCTTGACACACTGCCCAACGACAAAATGTTTCAAGGAAAGAAAGATCAACGTTCAGGTTCTCTGGATAGAAAATAAAAACAAAAAACATGGGTACCCTACTCAACTAGTAAACTAGACTCAAATTGGGACAAGAACCGGATTCTCGTCCCTGTAGGTGAACAAAGGAAAGGCTGGAGCTCTTTCATTGATCTCATCTTGTTTTATAACATGGATGTCTCCACTGAAAAGAAGTCTCCCCACCCTTATAAGCCTACTTATAAAGACATGGTTATATAGATAAAAGGTGGTGAAATCATAAATACTGCCAACCTAACCAACAAGTTACTACGCGAACAGCAAAGGACAAAAAGCCCTATTACCCACAGGTCAGAATGAATGTCTTGCCTTTTGATTTTGAAATGCAATAGTGATGATGGACGTCCCATCACAAAGGTATATGTGAGGAGGAAGGGGAGGGTGAGAGAGTAAGTTGGAAACCGTTCTCTTGTGGGCCCAGGGAGGAAAATGTTATACGTGGCAGTGGGGTCTAAAGTTAGTTAGAGGAGGGAATTTCTCGATTGTTCCTTGAGGTTAGTATATGTACTTTTCTGCTTCTTGAGGGGATTATCTTTTTGCACTTGAGTCCATAGAAGGATAGGAAGGAGAGGTACGGGAGTCTCGAAATCTCCCTTGATATTGTAATCTGTCTCTCATATATAAATAATAGAAGCAGAGTTCTATCATGGTGCAAAGGAAAAACTCTCATGATGACTAGTAGAAGATTCTCATAGTTCTCCAAAAGGTTGGCACTACCTTTTGTTCTTTAAATCCTTTCCAGCCCAACAAAGGATTTATGAGATGCCAAGATAGAGAGCAAGCACTAATACGTGGCAAGCTACAAGGATGGCAACAAGTTGAGCTCTATCAGCTGAAATACAATCCCTGGAATCTTGACTCTTACAAACAAAACATGGTGTCCCTTCATATGGAGTTTGGATAGAGTTAAGAGGTTTACCCATGAATATGCTTATATTCCAATCATCCCTAACTCACTCTATTTATAACTGCTCAATCCTTAGAACTCAAAGGACACAGTTGTACAACCTATAGAATCGATCTTGTTCAAGTAAGGTTGTATAACCACTCAATCCTTAGCAGTTCATTTCCAGAATATGCTTACATTTCAATCCCTAACTCACTCTATTTATAACCACTCGATCCTAACAAACTTACCATCTAATAACAAATGTTCTCCTATTAACTATGTTATCACATGCGACAAGCCTAGAATTCCCCCTTCAAAGAGCCTACCATAAACCAACTTTCCACAATATAGCCACTAAGAAACTAACCCAAATGGTCTTTCTCTCGGTATTTCCTTTAAATCTGTTGTGAGAAATAAGTTGAATAAACAATTCTTGTATGTGGCTTATCTAAAAAACAACTCTTGTATGTGGTGGCTTCAAAACTAGAAATAGATGAAATGTGAAAATGCACCATCAAATATTTTCTGCAAAGTCTGTTCTATTGAAGAATATGTTTTCCCCGTTTCATAACATCAGCTAAAAAATGGACACCTGTTAGGAGATAGCATGATGTTTAGGTTCCTCTTTTAGATGATGTACTGTAAGAAATATTAATAGAGAAATATTATGGATACCATTACCATATTATAAGGACATATTTGTCATAAGTAGGACTAAAAGAGGGTGACTGGTTGGGAGATATCCAAAATATGGAGAGCAGTTTTCTTGGGAGATCCAGGCCTCTCCAAGTGCTTTGGAATTGGGTATTCCACTTTTTCTTTCTTATTTCAAATTTCAATAAATTTCTATTGCAATTTCTGGTTCCCATCAAATTACATTTTCATGCTCCTTGTTAATGAGCAACAAATTCATTTCAACTAAAAAAGATTATTAGGGGGAAGATTGAACTGGAGGTCAATGCAACAGCAAGAACAAATGAAACATATGAAGATGCTCCTAGATTCGTTATTTAAAAAAAGACTTTACTTTCCCTACCTCTCTAGGAAAAGGAACCAAATACAGAATAAGAAACATACCTTGGGTCATTTGAACAAAGTAAACGGTTGCAAAGAGCAGTAAATCCAGCCCTTGTCTTATCAATCGCACCATTGTGCTTCATTTTCAGAAGAACTTCCAAAAAGTGGTCCCCAATCACTTTAAGTTGCCTTAAATCGAGTACTTCATCTTGCTTTAATATAATGGAAGAATTCAGATCAGATTCAACTGAATCAGAAGCCGTAGGCAAAGGCACCTTTCTTGTGATTGTTCCCAAGAGAAGACTAACCTGAAAATGTCCAGCAGAAAGAGATGAAGGGAAACATCTACTGTGAACAAATGGTCTCAACTACCGTGGTTAGATTAAATCTAATTTCCTAGTAGATATTGATGATTACTATAGGCGTTAAAATTTCTTCAATCCAATTTATTACGTACACTGTTACTTGATAGTCATAAGTCAAAAAATCTAGGCCCTGAAGTACAGAGAGAGAAGGAACACAAGATGAAAGAAATACTACCAAATGAATGAATTGGAGACAATCAAAATGTAAAATACCTCTTTCATGGCAAGCCAACAGCCAACCATCACAATCTGTTCTGATGTTCTTGAACTTACTGTAGTTTTGTCCTTACTGTCTTCCAACTTGGACAAGGATGTGGACACATCAGCCTCATCTGGAACATCCAGCAGAAAGGCATCATCTTCAACCATGTCATCCATGTCCTCAGGAAGATGCCAAGCATCTGCTGAAACCACCCAGAGTGCCAAGGAAGTTATTCGCATCACAAGCTCCAAAAGCTTTTCCAGTAGACTTCTCATTTCCGTGATACTAGAGAGCACAAGATCTGAATTCCAATCCAACTCCTCAAAAGTATAACGCAAAGTGAGCAACACACCATGAACAAAGCTGTTCCTGCATGCCTCAGAGAGATTCCTCTCTCCCTCTGTGACAGAGACATTCAACCAATCAATTAATGATCTGAGATACTCTGCCACTGGATGGTTTGATTTACACTCACCCACTTTTGGTAATTTCTCCTGGGAATCTAAGCAAACAACATCAACTGAAGCTCTGACTATCCAACCTAAATCCAAGACATACTTTCTGAATAAAAGCCGTAAAGTTAGTGCTCCGGCATCACTTTCTCTGACACGTGAACTGCAAACTAACTTTTTGGCCCATGTGATTACCTTGCTCACCATATATTCACTAGAAATGCCAGGTAGTGGAGTAGGAAAGTGTAGCAATATACGGAAAGAACTTTCTCTCAGTCTATCCCAACTATCAATGATTGATCCAACTAACAAAAGAACTGAATCAGGTAAAGTAATTCCTTCGTTATAGGGATGGAGAAGAGTTTCATTTGACTTTTCTTTTGAAGGAACAATTGACCAAACATTAAGCATTACTAAAAATAAATCCATCGCCATAATTTTTCTCTTGTAAGGTGCAGAAGGATAGCATGAGAAAAACAGATAGCAACTTAACCACTTCATAAAATAAAAAAGATCATCCGCTCTACCAAGTTCAATTTGTTCACTTCCATTTGGCAGATAGCATTTACTATTACAAGAAGCAGCAAGCGGTATCCAGTTACCCTGCTTGAATTGTCTCTCCAAAGCCGTTCGCACCCGAGAAAAAAATTTTCTAAACAAGCTAGTCCACTTCATCTGGAAAGCTGTAGAGCTACACCTCATGTTCAGTGGTATTGCTTTCTTCAACAATGTAAGTTCTAAATGAGAAGGCAAACTAGAAGTTTTGGGGTTTAAGAAAAGAAATTCTGCAGCATCAACACGAAGTGACTCGTCAACATGTGTCAATGCCAACACAAGCCACTCAACAAGGATTTCAACCTTTACTCCCTTGATAAAAACAAGAGCGTGACAACTAAAATATTCTATTTCATGGACAGATTCCTGCTCTAAGCTAGGCTTCTCTAGCCAATCAATGTCTCCTTCAATCAAAGCAAGCGAACGAGATACTTTGAGCAATGAAATAAAAATGGCAACTTTCTGTTGAACTCTCAGTTCCATACTACCTTGATTAATACCAGGATAGAGAACTCCATTCTCACCCGAACTAGACCAGACTGAGATGGAAGCAAGCATAGGGAATATACTATCTAGGTCAATTTCAAACAATACTGGAAGAGCATAAGTGTTCAAATTTGAGCGCAACTTTGATATCCCAGAAGCAAGTCCATACAGAATGGGTGGCAAGCAATGGCCTCTGTAAAGTGCATAGCCACCTTCAATACCATCACTGCTCCAGCACTCATCACGCAGGTTCTCAAGGAAACACTTCAAAAAAGAAGTGGCAGCGCAGCACACATCGTCATCAATGTATGCTTGCACAGTTTCCGACAGCAGGGAAGGACTCATATCTAACAACGCCTTTGCACCCAACCTCTTGGTCAAAGAAGCTAAAGGAACATATCTTCCTTTACAGCGAGAACCCAAATGAAGAAGGTCAAGAGCAATTTTTTGCAAGTATGACTTTATTTTCTCGCTACCCTCTGACCAGCAAAGTGAGGATTGAATCTCTAAAAAGAGATCAAAAATGAGATGCACTTGTTTGACAGTTTGACTTAAAGGATCTTCCAAGTTAGTCCACATGATTCTTAGTATTCGACTTCCCATCTCCTCAGGTAGTGGATCATAATTACAGGATATAATAGTAAGATTACTAACTAAGGAGGTTTTTATTTGTTGCAAACAAATCTGCAGTACGGTCAATGAATGAAAGTTAAAATGGCTATCTGTAGGATTTTCACAATAGGTACATAGCTCAGGCAAAATCCCATCATACAGTATCGTTTTGACAAAGTTACCACTATTTATACAACCTGGATGGTCATCCAAATCTCCCTCTATCATAGAAAATGGTATATTGAGCACAGCTCTTGGAATTGCTGTCAGAATCCCCCTGATCAGGCAGAGTCTACTTAACACTGCAAAAGTTTGAATTTCAGCACAGACATTCCCTTGATAAGGAATCTTTGAAACAGCATTCCTAAATTCACTCTCAAACTTCGAAAATGAAATGTGGGTAGATTGTTCGAAAATTCCGTAAAAGATGAGCACCCCAAGTTCCTGCGAGGTGAGGCATACTTGCAGAGATGCACAGAAACTCACCCCAGCAGCCACAAAACAATCCCGAGTAAAAGCCGAGGATTTTAGAATGCTTAAAATAGTACTCACGATCGTCTCCATAACACTAGAGTCCTCCTGGAACTTTGAGGGAAATCGCTGAAGCAAGTAATACAAGCAAGACAGAGCCTCTTGACACTGCTCCATGACAATTGGAGAAGGCCTAGCCCACTCATTAGTTTCCTTAACTACAGAGTCCAAGCCAAAAACAATATCCCGAGCAACCAAAATGGCGCATTCTCTGATAACATCCACCAAATAGCCCAACTTAGGCATACCCATTACAGATAAAGCCACCCTCGACACACAGAACCGCTTCCCTTGGCCTTGCTGCAGGCCACTGTGCTCCTCACAGAGGTCTCTGAAACACCCTCCCAAAGAATCGTGAAAACTACGGCTTTTGGCCAAAGTGGAGACGAGGGTTCGATGCAAAGGCTGGGAGTTCTCACAGAAGAGAACCTCCAAGAAAAACCGCTCGGCTTTGGACACCAAATCCTCGTCCCCATTGGCCAATAACTCGGCGAAAGCAGAAGCAACTTTCTTGGCGTGGTTCACTTGGGCGTAAACGGAGTTCAGCGACACCAGTTCAATTAATTCAGAGAAGAACTTTGAAGAGGATTGGTGATGTGATTGAAACGAAATCAGAGAGTCGACGTAGGAGTGAGGGAAGACAATGGCGCTGTAAGTATAGCGGTGGCGATGCTGCAGAGCTCGCCATTTAGCAGACATGGAGGCGAAGGTTGAAGTTGGGGATCCTGTTTCTCTCTCCCTCCGCTATGTCTTTTTCTTGTTGTAGAGAGAGAGAAGGAAATGGCGGCCGGAATAAGATCCTTATATTAGGGCTGCCATTTGGGAAATTGGCAAAATTTGGTTGCCCGGGTTTTTATTAAAAAACTAGAGAAGTTCGTGGGTTTTTAGACAGACTAACTCTTTTCAAAGCCTATTTTCCAAATCATCATCAATCTCTCTCTCCCTCATCTCTCTTTCCTCCTCTTTCCTTCTCTCTTCCCATTCTTCCTTCATCTCTCTTTTCAGATTTCTTTTAAATATAACAAAATCTTTTTTTTTTTTAACTTTCCTTCTCTCTCTACTTCACCCTTCTCAGATTATAGGGTTCACAGTTTTAGAAACTCAGTTTGTAAATACTATTCCACTTCTCGTGCAAAACTAATTACTATTCTACTCGATAAGTTGTTACAGTACTTTATCTTTATTTCCCAAGTTGCTACAGGGTATATTTTGTCTTTATTTTATCTTCTAAAATGTATTTATTTTGTTAATTAAATATATTAAATAAATGAAAAATTAATTAATTATAATTGTAATTATAAATATGTAAATGAATTTAAGTAAAATTACCTGTAATAAATAATTAATTCATGTATTGATACTTTTTATCTAGGTTTTTTTCAAATGATCCAAGAAAAATCTAATATTTTTTGTTCTTGCTATCTATTTCTAACTGTTTTTTTTTTCATTTTATATAGTTTTTTATTTTGTTTCTATCATTTTTATTCTTTTTGTTATTACTATTACATTTGTAAAAACTTTATAGTAAGTTGACAATTTTTTAGATAATATTAAATCTTTATTTATTTAAATATCAGAATTTGTTTGGTACGAAGAAGAAGTTGAATAATCTTGTGATATATTTATTTAATATTTCTATTAGAATTTCATATGATATGAGATGAAAATATAACCAAATAAAAACAATCTTATTTTTAAGTTTTGAAATTTAATTTTGTAAATATATTATTTTAGTTTAATACTTTTATAATTTATTAAAATATGATGAATAAGAAGACTAATATTTACAGTACTTTGTTGGTTCTAGGGGTGTAATCGGTTCGGGTCAGGTCGGTTTTTGGGAACAACCGACCCGAACCGAAACATTTCGGGTCAAACTCGACCCGACCCGACCCGATTTGAATTCTTTTTTTTCCCTCTCTCCCCAGCATCTCTTCCTTCTTCTCCCCTTCACCTTGTGATCTTAGGGTTTTTTTTTCCTTCTTTTACCTGAAACCTAAATCTAAACCCATAATTTTAATTTGTTTCTTCTTCGTTGCAAATGAGGGAGAAAACAAAACCCATGAAACTGATTAAAAAATAAAACAAAACCCATAAAACCCCCCTGTATTGCCAAAATTTCATACAAAAAACAAATGAGGGAGAAAACAAAACCCACGAAACTGATTAAAAAAAACCCTCCTTTTTTCCATATATAAATTCCTTCTTCCTCAGCTCCCTCTTCCACAAAATTCTCTTCCTTTTTTCCCCTTACAAATTCACATTAGATCTTCAAAAAATCATTCCACCACCGAAACAATTAAGGAGAAAAAACACCGCCAACAAGCCAGCTCTCCCCCGGCGGCCGATTAGCCAATTTCCTTGATTCCCTCTTCAACCAATCGGCTTCCAAAAAGAAAAAGAAACCCAAAAACCCCATCAAATCCGAAGATCAAGAAATTGAAGGAAGAAAGATTAGAAGAAGCAGCTTAAGTAATTTAATCGATTCAAAATCATCATCATCTTCAAAATTTTCAATTTCAGGTTTTAGAACTCCACCGACTCCAAAATTTCATACAAAAAACAGAGGACGATCCAAGGCCGCGTGTCGTCGTCGGTAGAGAGGGTTGCCGCCGGTGAGTTGTGCATGGAGAGAGAGGAGAGGGACGCCTGGGTTGAGTCGTGAAGGGGAAGAGGAGGGGAGAGGGTGTGCGTAGCGTAGCCGTAGGTACGAAAGGAGGGAGGCAGCTGCGCTTATAATTGGTATGAAACCCTAATATCGGTTGAAACCGAACGGTTCGGTTCGGTTTCGATTCGAGTCATATTTATTTTCAACCGAACCGACCCGATTCGATTCGGGTCGGGTCGGTTTTTCGGGTCGGGTCGGTTTCTTTCACCCCTAGTTGGTTCACTCATTGTTGATGGTGAACCATATAAAATGTATGTTGAAATGTACCTTGAAGAAGGTATATAAAATGTAAGTATTCTTATGTATTTTGTGAAAATGTATAAGTCATTTGGCATTATAATTTTGTATAATTATTTATTTTAATTTTATATCTTCTTTTTAACTTATGATGTTAATATTTTTTAAACAATTATTATTTAAAAGGTTTTCACTTTGTAATAAAACGTAATTGTCAAATAAAAATAAGAAATTTAATAGTAATATTGATGAAATTAAGTAATAATTTTTTTAGAATAATTAAGTAATCAAATTTACTTAAGATTGTAAATAGTGAAAAATTAAATAAATTGTTGATAACATTTTCTTTATTGTAAAATGCATGTCAATGAATTTGTATACTCTTGTTTAGATTTTGATAAATACTTTAAAAGTATTTTAATAAATAATTGTATATTTATTTTAAAAATTAATCATTGCAAAAAAAAAATTCTTAAAATAGTATTTCCTAATTTCACAAGAAAATTGACTTTTGTAAAATAATTTAAATATAATTTAAACTATTTTAATTAAATAATTAGTTTATAAATTATATATATTTTTTAAAGAAAATTAAAATTCAATCAACCGAATACAAGTTTAATAAAACTAGTTTAACACAGTACAAAACACATACTTAATAAACCAGACTTAACACCAACTAGACACAGACTTAACAAACTCAGACTTAATAAACATATTTCATATCCCAACCAAACCCAGAGTTAATAAACCTATTTCCTGCATCAACCAAACACACACTTAACAAACCCAGACTTGACAACTCCAGACTTAACAAACTCAGACTTAATAAACCAGGGTAAAATAGCGAATAAAAGACCCTATAAATTTTCCCCTACTATTCTTTTCCAGATGAATTTATTAAAAAAAATTGGGTATTCTTTGACCAACGAAATAGGCTATTTGGTTTATTGAAGGARAGAAGAGAAAGGGAGAAAAGAGAGAGAGAAGGACCAAGAAAAAAGAAAGAGAGAGAGAAGAGAGAGAGGGAGTGAGAGCTAGAAAAGAGAGCGAGAAAGTGTGACGAAGACTGAGAAAAGAGAGCGAGAGGAGAGAGAGAAAATGAATCCCACATTTTTTGAATTCTATTATCGATTTCAACCGAAGCGGAGATTAAAAGAATCTTGATTCCATTAGGATTTCGCTTTTCCTTTTTTAGTTTACAAATTACAAAATAAATAAAAAAAATTTGAAAGAATTTGATCAAATTTAAGTTCAAATTAAAATATTTGCAAATAATCAAGATCCATAAATTAAAGATGTTTCGTGCCTTCAATCTCGTTAATTTTAATCATAAATGATATTCAAATTTAAAATTTTATCCAAATTTATTTTTTTAATTGTTTCTATCATCTCTCATTTATTCTCACCCGTAATTTTCATGGAGTTCAAATCTAAAATATATGAAATTTTCGTAATTTTATTTTTACAATTCTTTTTTAACAGTGGAATCCACGAACAAAGTTCCATGTTGTCAAAAAAATACATGGACTTCCCTCATAGAGTGGCATCGTTTATAAGACTTGGCTTTCCTTGAGAAGTGGAACCCAAAGGAACTAAAAAAAGAGTTTTAGCTCTTTTTGGCTGACCTGTCGCAATTAGTATGAGTATTCCTACCTGGTAAACAAGTCAATCCGTTGCGCTCCATCCTTGTAGGGGCAGAGAACTCATTGTTGTCTCAGTTGTGCTACTAGCTTTGAAAAAGCAAGCTGAATCCCAACATGTTGGTTGAGATTGTAGCTGTGAATGAGAATTTTGTCGGTGGTATTGACTGATACTATCTGTAGCACAAGGGAAGGGTATTGATGCAAAGATCATCAAGTCTCAATGGAATGGGTGCCTCGAAAAGCACGGACGAGCCACATGTAGGGAAACTTGCACGTGTGGTTCTGGTCCTTTCCTCCTTCCTTTTCTGCTCACTCGTAGGGTCCGAACCTCCACAAAGGAAGGCGTGGATCGAAGTGATTGCAGCACTTGCGTCAACTTCGAGCAACAACATTGGAATTTAAGCTCTCTTTAATCTCTCGTCCAAAACTTTTGTTCTCTCTCATCTATCATTTTCTACAATTAATTTATTCTCTCTTGTAATTTATTTTAATAGTAGATTCGGTTCACATGGAAAATATTGTAATCAATGATTTAAAAAAACGAAATATCAATGGTGTTTCAAATCTATTAAAAATTGAATTAAAAAAAATCAAATCGAGATTCCTTAATCTTCGCCTCCTTAAAATTGATAACATAATTCAAAAAATCGAGATTCCTTCTATCTCTTCTTGCTTTCTCTCTTTTCTCGGTCTCGCTCTCTCTCTTTCTTTTCTCGGTCTCGCTCTATCTCTCTCTTCCAGTCTCTCTCACTCTTTCGCTCTCTTTTCTTCTATCTATTTTCTTGCTCCTTCCTTCTCTATTTTCTCTCTCTCGCTCTCTCTCACTACAAGGAAAATGGACTTTAGCAACGAAAATATTTCGTCGCTGAAGCTTCATTTTCGTCGCTGATGGTCAACAACGACGAAAATATTATCGTCGCTAAGCGCGTGATGGGACGAAAATATTATCAGTCGTCAGTGGACGCGCGCGACGAAACGGCTACCGTCGCTAGTTACAGCGACGAAATGCTTTTCGTTGCTGGAGCTAGCGACGAAAATATTTCGTCGCTGCAAGTAGCGACATAAATAGTTTCGTCGCTGGTACTAGCGACAGAATTAATTTTCGTCGCTGATTTTAAGATAATTTATTTTCGTCGTTGGAATTCTATTGTGACGCTATATTTTCGTCGCTATTTATTTATTATATATATATTTTTTACTTGTACGTTTTTTTCTTTCTTATGGTGACATTATGCGATTTCATCGCTAAATATAGCAACGTTTTCATTATTTCGTTGCTAAATAAAAACTA